TATTTACATACATATTTAGGCTTTGATACCTACGTAGGATACAGAGGGACGTTAATTGCACAGCGCTAAAAAAGAATTTTTTGTTATTTGTTTTCGACGCTTTGTCAGCGATTTCGCGACAGTAGGCGTAATTGGTGGGAGCAGGTTCTCAGTCTATTTTTATTTTTTCTTCGTTTTCTCCTTTATTTGAGGTAAGCTTTTTTCATTTTGATAGCTTTTCGTGACCGTTAAAATTCAGTTAAACGAACGGACGAATGGACAGAGAATTAGATACAAAAGTAAGTTTATGAGACATTCCATACGGTTTTTTCCTCTTACTCCGAACCTGAATGGTTAAATTAATACAACGGCTGTTGCGTATGAAGAGGAAGGGTATGTACAAGACTGTTGTAGTATATACTGTCATAAAAACATCAACAGTTGGAGAGGATTGTTTGCACGTATGGAAGACACGGAACTCGTCACACATTGTGTACTTATACGAACGTCCAGCATAAAAGTTAGACTGTTTTATCTCGTTTCATAAAATCGAATGTTACATCGGTATTTGTATTTGTGTTTGTGTTTGTCTTTTGTGTATTGTGAAAAGTTTTATATATATATATATATATATATACGAGATCCCTTTGGTTAGAGCATAGAGTAGCTAACCGGCTAATAGTTAAGTGTTTTGTTGTTATGTTCTTGTTGTTTGTAATTTCTGTTGATTTCTTTTTTGTTTTTTGTTTTCAGTTTTCGAAAATCCACAAACGGATAAAAGCATCAAAAAGCACTTTGTTTACCTTTACCTTTACAAACTACAAATTGCAAATAGATTTTTTTTTCAACCGCTATCAATTTTTGCTATTCTTCTTTGTATCTCTCTCTCTCTCTCACTCTCACTCTCTCTTTCTCTGCTTTTATAAAACACAATCTCCTGCTGACTGTACTTGGGTGTGTGTTTGTACGTGTGTGTACGTGTGTGTTTGTGTGTATGTAGTTGTGACTGTATAAGTCTTTTAGATCCATTCCTTTTCTGTATTCCATTTTAAATGCGTTTCATGTTAACAAATTTTTAGGCTTTTATGTGTTATCCTAGGGTTTTGTTTATCTTATGATTTTTTGTTTCTGTTTTAGTTTATATTTGAACGCAATTCACAATATTTTCAACTTTACGTTCATATTATGTAATATCAGGACACAATAGACATGGCTTAGCATAATATTTTGCACAATTTGTTTTCTGTTGTGCTCCTCGACTATTACTGTGTTGTACTCTGCCGGAAATCCCGTCGTTACAATTTATTGTTTGTAATACTGCTCCCTCCGTTGTTGTTTTCATTTTCAGTGATTCGCTCAGAATACTTTTTAAACAATTTGTCATTTATATTTGTTTTTGTTCCTTTTTTTCATCTCTCTCTCTCTCTCTCTCTCTCTCTCTCTCTCTCTCTCTTTATCTATCTATCTATCTATCTATCCATCTTCTTTTTCTTTTTTTTTTAACCCAGTTTAATATTTTGAATCTATTGTTTTAGATGCAAATACAAAAATATAAAATAAATAAAAAAAATTAAAAAAATAAAAAAATATGAAATATAATTTAGTTTTTGGGACATTTTGGTTAGACATCGTTTCACAGTAAGGATGAGAAAACCTTTTATTTGTATAGGTTGCAAAGAGCTAAAATGATTTAAAATATTTTTATTATCAAGCAGATAAGGGCGAAACTGAAAATCGTATATTACTGACGAAGGGAGACCACTCGATTACAAATCACACAGTGAAGACATCTTCTAAAATGGTAGATAACTTTGTGTTGTGCCAGAACAATATTAATTTCGATCATTGACTTTGTTAAAGCATACAACTAGGCCAGGGTCTATCAAAATTCACACAAGAAGTAATTCTCATAGAAAGCTTAGATTTGTAATTGCTTAAGTATGCAGTCAGTATGGAGTTGTGTATGAAACTCTATATCCATTAAATGATCTCCTAAGCTTAGTGGGTGGCATATATCTATTCTTCTGCTAAACTGTACCATGACAGTTTTAATGTAGCTCCCGTTATCCTCGTTCAAGGAGACCTCAACAATCGTCCAACTTCAATTCTCGTATAAAGTGAACTTTGTTTGGTAAAGACGACGAGGCGAATCTTTCGTGAGAATACGCTTTAGAGACTTCCTCAATATGCCCAATTTTTGACTACGCTGACAAATTGATGCGAACTCTGTCGCTTTACTTTCGGCAGCACTCGCATGAGCTGTTTCGCTCTACACTTACCACACAAGTGATGCAAAATTTAAATCTTTTGTGAATTTTCGGACACCCTGTATATGTGGGAGACATTGAGCATCAGCGTGAGTAATGGAATCGATCCAAGCCTGTAGTCCTGTCTGTTCAGATTAATTCTAAAGCGGTCCTTGGTCTAATCATAATTGACAAGAAAAAGAACGCTATAGCCAGGCAAGATCGATAATTGGATACCCTATACAACATTTCCTAAAATGAGCGCTGATCGCTTCCGTGATACATCTTATTTTTATGTAAAGGCATACTATTCATGAAAGCACTCGTATCGGGGTAAGCCTACAATACCAACTAACGTGGTTCAAATTTAGAAAACTTCATTTTATTATTTTTCAATTGCTTATGTCCTGAACAGCTACAAATGAGACTTTGTCGTCATAGAAGCGCTTCTGCGCGTGGTCCAAAATCTTTTTTAATGCAAGGCTTTAATATATCGTGTTAATTTTTTTTATGCAATAATGGTCAAAAAATGGAGGTACTTGGTAAAAATTCGACACAGTTAAGTTTTATAGTAAACTTATAGCACTCTTATGAACCAATTTTCATTATGAAATATTAAAGATTTGGACCCTTTTGCCAAAGTTTGCAAACCTTCATTTGCCATTAGAATCCTTATACGGGGTGAAAACCAAAAAAATTAGCCTACGTGATCCAAAACTTCGTACGGTTAATTTTCGTGTTAAATTATTATTAGCAAAAAGTTTTCCCCAAGAAGGTTAAGCCTTTTTACCATATAAAAATTCAATTTCTCATGGAACGTTTACATTGGCGGAGGGTGCGAAAAGTTGTCCCTTCCAATCCAAATATTTTATATCAATTTGGAATGCCAAAATGCCATTAGTTTTTCACATAACGGCTTGAACGAAAATAAGGCATGGTCAAAAAAGTGGTCCTACCCGAACCCTTTACAATACCCAGTAAAAATTTATTACACCCCGCACCACAAGTGGTGTATGAAATAAAAAAGGAAGCTTTTAAACCTTCTCTTTTCGCTAAACTGTAAACTCTGCTTAAATTTTGAATCCTGGCTGGACGCTTAAATTTGTGCTTAGCAAAGTTTCGATGATATACGCTAGTAAACCGGGTCAACTCTTTGCCCAAAACATTAATAGAGTGGAATTGATATATATTCACTATTGCATGATAAAGTCGGTGTACAAGCTATATATTGAAATAATGCGTCTTCGCTTTGCATTAGTGCAACATATTACATACAAAGGAGGAGCAGACGTTGACATTAAATTCTCGCACAGGCCAACGCCTTGCGTTTCAATTTTTAAATCCAAAAAATGGAAACCGAAAGCATTTAAAAGTTCAGATAGATATTAATGATGACTTTTGTTTATCTGAGAAGAGGGCCTATGATCGATTTTCTTCTAACTCTCCTAGTTTCCGTTATATGATTAGATGGCCAAAGTGTGCTTACGCACCGCATATGTAAACATCAACACTCAAGGCTGGAAGTTAAAAAACGTCAAGTCAAAAACTAAGACAACCCTTTGAAACGAATTTTTTCGTTGATAATTCACGATTCCTGGCTCTATACACTCAGTATATAGTCGAGGCCTTGATTAGCAAAACCTTCAGATTGCTTGACAGCTGAAAAAAGTATTGCTTTTCTTGAAGATAAGTAATCAAGTCCGACAAACGCCACATTGCGTTAGAAGGTATGAAAAGTGGTTGTCCTTTTTACAATTAATCGCTCAGGGATTGTTCGCTGTACGTGTGTACACACGATGGAGGGGTGGGGAGGAAAAGGAGGGTAGAGAAAGAGGTATAGGTTGCGGCCGCAGCCAGATACAAGCGTGGTCAGATGGAAGTCGTAATTAAAGTATACTCTACGGAACTCTCGGGGACGAACGTAAGTGTATCGATTTGATCGTCGCACTTCGTATCTACTGCATTATTTAGTGAATTGATTGAAATCTTTCTTCTTTAACAAATTTTCCTTAACAAGTTGATTCTTAGTTTTTTTTTTTTTTTCTTTTTTTTGTAGATTTATGCGCAAACACAATTGAAAATTCCATCAATATTCGAAAGATAATAGGGCTTTGTTAACATAGCCGCTGTGATTATAGAGCAGATGAATAAAATGGATGACAATAAAATTAGTATTCCCTTTGTTGTTGGAATTTATAATAAATTTAACTGCTTTAATAGAGGTTTAGTTGAAAGTCTCTTTAAAGTACCTTTCAACCTGATGGCGAAATTAAACTTCAACCTTCTGGGCACACGCTTAACTGTCTATTACAGTTTGTTAATAATCTCTTAAAAACACTTCTGGCATGTGTAACCCTCACGGTTATTGTTCCCCCAGCTCTGTGTCTCTTGGGTTTTATGCTTACTTTTATACTTCTCCCTTTCATTTTCTATCAGCAGAAAAAGGAGTTACTTCGTGCCTGTCGCTTGACAAAAAAAGCCACAAAAATGCCATTAACAACCCTATCATGATTTCAAGCCACCCTACCACCGGTAGCAAAAGGCGAAAAGGGGTTAACAAAAGTATTTAATAATCCTAGCAAAACATTAAATGAATATATTTTTTTTTTTCTATTTTTAAGATTTCAGTCGAATGGTTAAGTGCTCGTTGCAATTTAAATATTTTAAAAGCATTCAATTACAAATGTAAATGTGTTTCCTTTTTTCTCTCTCTCTTTTTTTTTTGTTTTTTTTTTTTGTTTTTTTTTTTTTTGTTTTTTTTTTTGATTTTTGCAGCCATATCCCGAGAAGACAACGATGATGGTACACATCATCACCACCATCATCATCACCATCATCATCATCGCGGTGGTCATAGTCACAATCACGGTAATAAAGTTCCCTATAATGGTTACAATTCCGAAGAATATTTGGATAGACTGGAACCAAACGGTAACATACCAACAGATAAATCCAATTGCAGATATGGCGGTAAGTTAATTACTCGATTACCATTTAAATTCATACATAATCATCCTCGTATATGTAGCTCACAAAGTCACAAACAAAGTCATTTATCCTTACGAATCCTTACTTAACATGAAGAATTTCTTATCATCATTCATAACATAATTTCATTAATTACTTTGTTTGTTTGTTTGTTTGTTTGTTTGTTTATTTGTTTATTTTCGAACAGTTTATTGTATAATTTATTTAATGCATGAGCCCACTTTTAAATCTTCTATGCAATTCCATGAATTCGAAAAAGAAACGTGCCGCGCGGGGGGAGGGGGACCTAATAATATTATTCATAATTATTTTATGATTTTCTTCGGAATAGCGGAACTATACAGGACTGAGATTGTGCCAGGAATTGTTTAGCGATTTATGACTTAAATCTATTTTGAACCGGAAAAGCGGATCTAATTAAATATACTGTTTCCTCCTTTCCTCCGCCCACAATGCAAGTACGACGCGTAATATTCGTCCTTAGGTTAATAATATGTAAAATTAATTTCGTCTCACATATACATACATTAAGATAAGATAAGAGCTTCTTCTCTTAGTTTTTTTGTCTTTTTCTTGTATACCCTTTCGTTGTTGCTTTCTTTCTACTTAAATTGTGAGAAAGAATTTCAGTTAAGAATCGAAAAAAAAAAAACAACAAAAAAAAGTGAATAAAAGTCAAGGAAAAAGTTCGTTGCGTTTTCCCTAATATTATTTACATGCAAGCAAGCTATGAAAGATGCTTCAACAAAAAATACAGCTTACTATGGTTAATTAAGTTGAAAGTAATTGCGTTTTGAAAATGAGCCAACATTTTCCTACATTTTATAATATTTACCTCGATTTGCCAATTCTTGAAAATTGCGCAGGGCTCTTGTCAGATTTGGGACTGCTTATGATGAAGATGCTCTCTTGCTCCCTTCCGTTTTGGAAACTTCAATGTTACGAACGCGAGTGTTCTGGATGAAGTTGCGGGCATTTTCTAAATATTTCTACGAAAAGCGCACATTTGACGAATCAAGTTTTCATGATTGGGAATTGGAAATTCGTGGCTGCTGCAGCCTGGCCAGACGATTGATTCGATTCCCCACCATTAACGATTAATGCCATCAATGTCATGAAAGTTTGCGATTGAGGTAAAGCGTCTCGAGATGATCAATAGGAAATGCGAGAACTGAAGAATGGAAGCAGTATTGTGTTTTCCACTAGGCATACATTAGACGCCATGTTATATAACATTATGGTGAATGTATGGTGAATTAGACAAGAAGTTATAATTCCGCGCATATATTCCGAAATAAATTCGTCGCTATAGACACGCCTATTCAATATTACTATTGAGTCAACTTTGACGATAAAACTGAAATTTCCACAATTTTAGTATCGATAGGTACGGGCAGCTGGCTAATGATCCTAACCTTTCGACGGGACAAACGCGCTTGGAACATTTTCGTTGATTCTCATCATAATAAGTGATTTTGATTTATCCGTTTTTTTGCCCTCTTTTCACCTTCTTTCTCTCGCCCACACACACTGTCTCTCTGGCTGCCTGTCCAACTATATATGTATATTTTTATATATTCATGTAAGTATGTGAGTGTGCACTTACATATGATATGGGATATGCATAAGAGAATATAAATAACTTCAAATTATATAATGTTTTTTGGGGTTACGTTCAAATTTAATTATGTTCATTTTCCCATTACGAAGCAAGAGCATAACAGTCGACCCTAGCCGAACGCAATGATTGTGTTGTCGACTTTCATTTTTGTTTTATACATAATTCACTTTATACAAAGTCATCATAATCCGTGTCTGGTATTTGTGCAAACGTTTATCTACCAGTAGTAATATATCATAACTTTTTAGTGTTTATCGTGGCAATTAATTACAATTTTTTCCAAGTTTATGCTTAAATGTCGTTTTTGGTGTCTGTTAATTCTTAAATCTTCAACTTACGTTCTCTTTTTCTTCTTTTGTTTTTCTCTGTCTGCCTCTCTCTCTCTCTCTCTCTCTCTCTCTCTGCCTCTGTGTGTGTGTGTGTGTATTATTGTAGCGTTAAAAGTAGACAGAAAATATAAAGTAAAAAAGATTTGAAAAATAAATGAAAATACAGTCCGCGAGCGGATGAAAATTCTCTTTCTCTATGTTAAGCGAATCAATTGCAAAATTTGCATCAACATGCAACTCTGTCAAGAATGTCGAAATTTTAAGCGCGAAATCATTCAAAATAATCAATTAATTATTTTCTTTTATAAAACCGATTTTTTTCTCACGAATTTTCTCATCCGCCTGATGGAAAAACTTGCAGCAAAATGTTTTCGTCCGTATTTCAGGTCATCAATTAACGGAAATAATATTTCTTCCTAATAAACTGATGTCTTAACCTTTTTAAGCAATTTTAAATAGTTTTGTATAGTCACTCCGCTGTACGGTTAATTTTCAAAGTTCACGGAGCAAAGTGCAAAGCCTTTTCACATCTACAATAGTGTAGGTTGAGATCTTATGAAAATTATCTTTAGTTAACACTTGAGTGAATTTGTCGCTTACACGCCACACATATCGTTTTCGATGTATACGCTAACACATTTGATAGTTATGTCCTTTGACCGTTTTGGTTCATTTTTAGTATCAATCTGCTCGCAAGAACTGTTGACATTTTAACGAAAAAACTTGAATCCGTCCGAGGAAATGTTTACAATAGACATTTATATAGATTTGTAGTTGGACTGCTGAACCGATGCACATATTTAAATCGATCAAGTACTAAGTACTACAAACGCTTCCTTGAAATGAATACAACCATATGTCTAGGTGGCCTATAATGTCTTCTCCCCGTCTACTGCAAGTGAAAAGAAACCAATCTGATAGCAAACGTTTCTTATAAACTTTAAATCAGTCAGTCAGTCAGTCATACTAAATCCTTTTGCAAAGTTTTGCAGTTTCTTTTATAAAGACTTTATATGTTTATTTTAAATATTATTACAGATTGCGTTGACCGTAAACTAAATTGTTTTTCGCCTTTTTTTACCTCTTCTACACGATATTATATAAATAATATCCGCTTTAAAATTGAAATAAAGTCAAAGAAAGAAGCAAAGAAAAAACGACGAAATTAAATTTTCATTGATAACTAGGCACCACACAAGTACTGCGTCTATCTATTTGCCAGCGTTGAAAATAACAAAATGATACACTTTTATTGTCGCCGTCACCGTCATCGTCATCGTCATCATCTTCATCATCATTAGTGCATTGTCAACATCATCATAACTACTTAAGGTAGCATAAAACCAAACCGACAAGTGCAAGAAATGATTGCGATGTGAACACGAAAAAAAAAAAAAGGTAAAGATTTGTTGCAATTCACCAAAGATGAATAGAACGTTTGTGGCCGAGAATAGAAGAAGCAGTTATGCTACAATTTTCAAAACGTTGTAATATTTTATAAGTGAGTTGATGATATTGTTCAGAGAAGTTGTTGTATTAACCGAAACGTAAAGCCATAGTGAGCAATTACCAACAACAATAAATGACTATAGAAACTAAAAAGATTATTATGACGATGGTAACAATGTTGACGATAATGATAATGATGATGACGATGATAATGAGTAGCGTTAAACAACTGAAATAAGAGCAGAAATACTGTCATAATCAACGTAAAACAGCAACATTCTTGTAAACATTGTTAGACTAAACGAAAAAAAAAAAAAAATAAAATAAAATAAAGTAAAAAAAAATCAAAAAAATAAAATAAATAAGGAAAAGAAAAAGAAATGGAATGAGGATAAAATCCTCATAAAAATATTATGGCCTCTTAGAGATGATATTCATTCAGATTTTCACTATTACTACTATTGCTACTACGAGACCACTACCACGACGATATTACTATATTACTACTACTACTATTACTACTATTACTAATACTACTACTACTACTACTACTACTACTACTGCTATTTTTATTCTTATTGATATTACTATTATTATTAGAGTTATGCAATTTTTTTTTTTTCCTTTCGTCTTGGCATTTGCTTTAGTTACGGCAACGTTATGAATTTATTTAAAATATTTGAAAAGGTAGAAAGTTTCTGCTGAACTTGATAACATAAATTTGCCACAAATCTCGGTTTTAGACGTTCGTTTATTTTGCTTGTTATCAGCATCATCTTTATATTGAGAAAAAGAACAAAATTGAAAGAAAAAAAAAAAAAAAAAAAAATGAAGGAATATATGCAGACGGTACGATGAATAAAAGCTGCTTTACTATGTTTAGAAAGTAGACATTCTTTACTTTATTGCCTCTGCTGCTGCTATTTTCCACTTATTTCCTTCTTTTATTTTTGCTTTTTTTTGTTTTTGTTTTTTTTTTAAAGAAAATCTCTTGTAATTGAAACCTTAAGATAAAATGTTATCATATAATAAAAAATAAAAAAAAACAAAAAAGAGGAATTTATTTTCAAAAGAGGAAAAGCAAGAAAAATATTTTAAATAATTCCTTTAGAATTTTTTTATATCCATCACCGGGCAGTTGCAGTAGATTTGGTAACAGTTTGTAACGGTACAGCTGTATAGCTGCATGCATTCGGGACCCCACGAAGTCAGACAACCAGACATATCTGGTTGCATGCTGTTCTTTTAACGAAGATTGAGAAGAAATTTATTTTTCTCACATTTTTGACGTTTTATGTTTGCTTATCATAAGCTTAACAAGGGAGAATGTGTAAAACCCTTTTGTACATTCCTCAAATGAAGATATATTATCTCCCTAAAAATATGTTAATTCGAAATTGACCTCGACCTCAAGGTGGTAGAATAATTTTTTCTTAATAATATCAGCGATATGGGTGTCAATCAAAAGAACTTGGAGAGTAGAACGAGATTCGGTCTCCGCCGAACATAACTTTCTTACTTGTTCTAACAGTTATCGTGTTGCACGTATGGAGTACGTCATCCCCTGGATGATTGGTCATATT